AAGGCTCTGCACTCGAAACCGCGAAAGCTGCGCGTTGCCTCCGTAACTCACTCCTCGGCAGTAAGTAATGGATGGACTGAGTGAAAATCCCGAACGAAAGACACACGCGTCTCAGGGGAGACGTAAACGCGAGATTCGTCCTGAATCTTTCCTCGCGCAGAACTCCCGGCCGTTTTCCCCGACGGTCTCTCTGGGATACCTCTGTGTCGCTCGTGTTTTAACTCATTTCGGGCTGCAACAATATTTCAGATCCGTGAGATCCAAGTACTGTTTTAGGCTAATTGGGACCCGAGGAATTCAGAAAACCTAAAATCAGAATTTTCTCACCGGTCGTTTTACCCAGAACATCTACCTTGAGTGATACCTTACACCTGGCGAATCATATCATAATGGGAATCGTCATTTTCGACGATTTGAATTTTTACCAACAAAATACCTCATTGTTACTTTTTCAATTTTTTCTTTGTTACTATTTTTAATTAACTGAAAAGGTGTGTTTTGCACCCCCACCTACCGCCGGGGAGGTGATGGGTGGTAGCCAGGTGAAATTATTTTCTGAGAGGCAAAAGTCCATACTGTATTTCAGTAATAAGATCTAAGCCAGAATCTATCTTCGTTATAGATAACAAATTCTTTGAAGATAAGTAAATTGCTGTTCTTATATAAGAAAAGAGGAACGAAATGGGTTATGAACGCGTCGGAACGTGAGTTCGCGCGACTTCGCGAATCACGTTTCACGAGTATCACATAGTGCTTAATCACGGTGTCGCCAGCAACATCATGCTGATCAAACCCAAGAGCTTCCTTACTTTTTGCCAAAAATACATTACACCGTTGGACGCGATCGCGAAAACCTTCTCATCCTCTCACTGCCTCCGTTCGCGATTACACACCACATACACATACAGAGATGACCAAAGAGATTTCGTATATTTATTATCGGCGCGTCTATTATACATATATATTGCCTTCCTCGATGGTGATTTTTACGGTATGTGAAATGTGTTATATCGTCCGACTGTGTAACCGAATTGTATAAATCTTTCAGTGTGATCGATGTGTTTGTTTCGCGACACGAGTCTCCGGGATCTTCGTGCGTACCTCATCGGGTGCTTACATTTAACGACATAAGCATCGTCCTATTTTCGTTACTCATTGTACATGGGGCAAAATGACACTTGCGTCATTAAATAGAAAATCACCGTAATCGGCCGTTATTTTCGCGCTAAGCTGTTTAAAAAAATTCATCCGTGCCGTGTATCTTCCTTCCGTAACAAAAGTGCGTCTCGGGCGTAACGATTTGTTATCCCGGCTCCTCTACGGGATCGGTGCGTGCGATCGCGCACACGATCACCTATCCAACTCCGTGCATTGAAGTTCATATCATAATCGTCAACGGGAAACGGATTGTCGGGCGGTCGAGGAAGAGAAATCGACTTTTGACGGACGAGAAGATGGCAGGACGACCGTCGAGATGCGAGGTAAATCGAGTTATATCGCATATTGAGCAATAATTTCCTATAGGAGTATACGGTTACACACCTCGCACGAGTCACGTTATCCGAGGCTCTCTTCATACCTCGAGAGGGGAGAATTTACTTTGATCTAGTACGCTTCTCTGTGAACATATCGGAACGCATTATATTCGAGTATCCACGTATATACGTATATATGCATATGGATGGATAAGCCGATGTTAATTACAGACACGGTGAGATACGGTGGGAACTTATAGTTATCGATATTATAGTCTAAGCGAAGCCGCGATCCGTGCGAGCGATTTCAAGGGCGATGTTAAGAGATATTATTCGCGAGTCGTGGACTCACTGTGCACGACTCGCTGTGCCAATCCGTTCCATCTTAGAATTTTGCAC